AGCATACTCACCGGACATGTCACCCATTGAGCATGTTCGGGATGCTTTGGATCGGCGTATACGACAGCGTGTTCGAGTTCCTGCCAATATCCAGCAACTTCGCACCGCCATTGAAGAGGAGTGGACCAACATTCCACAGGCCACAATCAACAACCCGATCAACTCTATGCGAAGGAGGTGTGTTGCACTGCGTGAGGCAAATGATGGTCACACCAGATACTAACTGGTTTTCGGACCTCCCAATACAGTAAAACTGCACATTTTAGAGTGGCCTTTTATTGTGGCCAGCCTAAGGCACACCTGTGAAATAATCATGCTGTCTAATCAGCATCTTGATATGCCACACCTGTGAGGTGGATGGATTATCTCGGCGAAGGAGAAGTGCTCACTAACACAGATTTAGACAGATTTGTGAACAATATTTGAGAGAAATAGGCCTTTTGTGTGCATAGAAAAAGTCTTAGATCTTTGAGTTCAGCTCATGAGAAATGGGGGCAAAAACAAAAGTGTTGCGTTTATAATTTTGTTCAGTGTACTTAAGTTAAACTAAAATGAGACCGAAATAAAATAAAGCTAAATAGAAAATTTGAAAACAAAAACTAATAAAAATGACAAGCATATAATAAAATTAGTAAAACAGAAATAAAAATGAAGCTGAATAGAAATACTAAAAGAGGACTAAATCACACTACAAAAATACTGAAATTTATGCCGAGTTCAGACTACACGATATTTTTGTCGGTCACTGTGTCAGATTACACAATTTTGACTCCTAAAATCTTGTCGTGGCATGGACAAGAAACATGTCAGACTACATGTTGCTTCCCGACCATTCATCGCGTGCCATCTTTAACGACGCGCGTGATGTCATCGAGAAGGCGGAACTAGCGACTGACTTCCGAAAACAAGAGTGTAAATATTAATATGCATTACGAATGATCACATAATTCAAGATAAGGGGGTTGGAAAATGTATATATTTATATCAATTCATATAGTTAATATCACACGAAGAGTGCCGTTTAAAAAAAATAAATAAATAAAAAACCAGCATGGTTACATTGATTTTATACAACAGTTCAATAAATAAGTTAATATCAAGAGACTTACGTTTTAGACACCATATTGGCTGTTTTTGCGCTATTTCTGTGCTATTTCGCCAACAAAAAAACATTCCAAACACAGCCACAGTACTGTTCTGCATCTCTGAGCAACATGACGTTGTTTGTTATGAAATATCACTATTCAACATTTCATGTTTAAAATATCAAAAGATTATTTATGCATTTGTAACTGCAGGTTAAAGCATCCCATGTCCCTCTAAGCTGCATTAACAAGTGTAAACACATCTAAATGCCACTTCATATTCAACTTCTGCAAAGATGCATTTTATTGATATTGATTTCATTTGTTTAGTAACAGCCTAAATGTAGTATTGTTATAATTGCCTGATTAAATGTAAGAATTTGACTCAAAAGATGATGCACACTTTTAGTAAAAATGGATTTATAAAGGTAGAAATGCCCATAAAAGGTAAAAATCAATCTAAACTTTTTGGAAAAGATTAATTTCTATCACGGCTGTCAACTTACCACACAGAATATGAAGAATATCAAAAACTTTAAGAGTCAGCTGTCCACGGTAATCCTTAAGATATCAGCACAATAACACACTCAGCAAAATATTGTCTCATTATCTTTATCAATAAAATCCCAGAAAATATTGAGATATTATTTTTTGTCAATATCGCACACCCTTAGTACCGACACAAAATGATTTGCAACAGTCGCTTTGTCATGTAGACGGCCTCAAGCTGTTGGTTTATTTCGTTTTTTTTATTTTGGCTAGTAGAAGTTATGAATGGCCGGTAACTTAAAAATGTATTGTCTGGTGAGTAAAAAAGTTAATTTCAATCCCTGGTTATAGTATTTAAGTAATCCTAAAATAACACTACTGTTTTTCCAAAGCAATACAATTTCTTGCATCAAAATGTGATTCTTGTTCCGTCTCTCGATCTCCAAATCGAAAGATTTCTTTAGTTATCATTCGATTCTCATCATGCATTGAATGTCTTGTCTGATTGGGGAAGTGCAGTAGGTTGTGACTCTTATTATCTTGACTTCAAAGAGTTGGAGTGCATCAGCATCTCGTTTAGATCAGATTTCTTCTTATTGTTATTATTATAATTACTTGCAGCTGTGTTCCTTAACCCCTTTCAAAGGCAGAGGTTCAGTCAATCTTCTCAGATGGCGCTCTCTCTCTGCACACACGCAGTTTAAAATACGGCAAGGTGAGAATGACGCACATCACTGTATTAAAACAGAGCGTTATGAGATGAGCGTGAACGATGCTGTGTTTGTTCTGACAGCTGGGTCAGGGTGTGCTGGTGTTCGTGTCACCGTCGATAGTGAAGAGACAGAAGACTCATTTCCACAACCTGCCATGCGGCGCCTCCATAATACTGGGCAACAACGGCTATGTGTGGCTGTATCCCACACCGGGACAGCAGGACGAGGAGGCCGGAGGATATTACACCAGCATGGAGGTCAGACTTCTGCTGCTGCTCACGAAGTCGCACTAATAATACAGAGACGAGTCCCTAAACACATAATTTCTCTCTCTCAGCCCGTGTCTTTGTCCGATCGGGAGGTGATTTCCAGGCTCAGGAACTGTTTGTTGGCTCTTGCGGCTCATAAGGTTTTGCTGTACGACACAAGCGTGCTTTACTGCTACGAAGCGTCTCTTCCGCAGCAGGTATTATTGATTAGGATCTCTCATCACAAAATGTCTTATTGAGCTGTACATGCATGTTCATGAAGCGTCAAGCATTGCATCTCTCGCTTTGCTTCCTTGTAGATTAAAGATATCCTGAAGCCAGAAATCATGGAGGAGATCATTCTGGAAACAAGGCAGCGCCTAGTTGAGCATGAAGGATAAACCACTGACTTCCATGTAAACCCTCATCATTTCAAATGTTGGAATAAATGAATTTGTCAGAAAACAAGTGCCGTTTATTGCTTCTCATGCGAACAATACAATCAGGAGAGAAATATGCACAGATCAAGTACCGTTTACAAGCCGAAACCGTTCTAAACAAATGAAAGAAGGGTGGATTTTAATGTGAGAGAGGCGATGGACCTCTTCCACTGGAGTAAGGGTTATTTTCAGCTATTTTCATTTTTGTGTGAACTATTCCTTTAACACAAATTTGATCTTATAGCACTTCTTATCATTGTTCAAATCTGTAATGAAAGATTGTGTTCGTGCAGTTGAATTAGTGATGAATTTGCACGTGTCATTTCGGAAACAAGGCAGCGCCTAGTTGAGCATGAAGGATAAACCACTGACTTCCATGTAAACCCTCATCATTTCAAATGTTGGAATAAATGAATTTGTCAGAAAACAAGTGCCGTTTATTGCTTCTCATGCGAACAATACAATCAGGAGAGAAATATGCACAGATCAAGTACCGTTTACAAGCCGAAACCGTTCTAAACAAATGAAAGAAGGGTGGATTTTAATGTGAGAGAGGCGATGGACCTCTTCCACTGGAGTAAGGGTTATTTTCAGCTATTTTCATTTTTGTGTGAACTATTCCTTTAACACAAATTTGATCTTATAGCACTTCTTATCATTGTTAAAATCTGTAATGAAAGATTGTGTTCGTGCAGTTGAATTAGTGATGAATTTGCACGTGTCATTTATCAATTTCAGACACTTTGCTTAAGTTAATAATTGAGAGCGAGTCGCTGTGGTTCGTTCTTGTGCTGCAGTATCGCAAGCTAATAGTTCCCATACAAACACATTAAACCCCTTAACTGTCACCCCCCATTTTTTAAAATAGGCATGCAGGTGCACTATCCAAACTTGAATTGTTGTAATTTATGAACACTTTGCAATACAGACATAAGGTTGGTCTTTTTAAAGAAGAAAATCAGCAAATTATCACGAAAGTGGAATTTTTTTCAAAAAATTTAACTATCAAAAAGTTATAGTAGTTTCAATTTACTGTAAAGAAAATGCACTATATTTATTTTATATATAAATATTTTACATATCAGGTTTTACTCTAAAATTGGTATAAAATTATAGCCTTGTGTCTAAATAAGTTATGTTCCAAATTTGAAGTTGATATGAAAAAAATTGAGGTTCCTGTGAGATTTTATTTAGGGCGTTATACCACAAACAGCCACCGGGTGCCATTGATTTTTTTAAATGCATTTCTCTGTCACAAATGTCTAGATTGCTCTGTCAATATTACTTCTATCTCAAAATACCAACAAATATGGAATCCTGAGACTCTGACCTTTCCAATGATATGTTTTTTGTCAAGATTGTAAAACGTTTTGATTTTAAAAGACCGTAATTAATTTTGTAATATGACACTTGACACTGCCCACTAAGGGGGAGGAGACCGGCAAAATATTTTAAAGTACCATTTCCATGGTAACGCAATGTCTGATTTTGAAATGGTTTTCACAGGATGAATCTTGGGCTTCTAAGCTTTCAAATGATATATGATTTATGATGATTACTAAAAGATTTGATAGAGAAAAAAGACAACAAATAAAAGAGCACCAAACGTCCCACAGGTGGGACGGTGACAGTTAAGGCAGTAGCGGAATGATTTTGCAACATTTAATAACGTGTTTATGAAGTAGATGGCCAATTACGTTATCATCAACTTAAAAAAAAACGTGTTATTCGACTTTTAGTCGTAGCACACGGTTTAAAACAGCAAAAGCGAATTTGCTTGATTGAGGACAAAAATCAAAATACATAATTATAAGAAATCTGATATTGATGAGCTTTGAGGAAGAAATTGATTTTATTATTGTTTTTAAAGATCTACAAATATAGCCTGGGAGGGATTGGGATGAACAACCAAAATATAATAATAATAATAATAATTAACACATTTGCAACTTTCTTATTTTTCCAGCTAAAAGTTGTTTTAGTTATTGTTGAAGGAACTGAAGTGATTTTTTTTTCAATTGCAAAAATATACAATTAAGTGTGTATAATCCAAAAATCAAGGAAAGAGAAAGAAAAATATGACAAAATAAGTAAAATATAAATAAATAAAATGTGCCAGGGCAAGTAGAAATATAAAAATAAGAAACACAATTACAATCGGGTATTAAAAATATCAAGGAACTGAAGCCATTTATTTTAATTGAGTGCTTGAAAAAACAACAATAATAATTAAAAAACAACAACAACAGGAAGTGCCAAAGCCATTGTTTTATTGCTTTTAATTTAGGAACTGAAGCGATTTGTTTTTAATTGAAGGGAGAAACAATACCGAACAAAGTAACAGGAGATCCGAAAATACTATCATAATATTTTTAACTAATGACATTTAATTAAACAATTTCAAAGAAGACATAAAACAATCAGATTCAACAATAAACAACATAAACAATGGGGATGAATTTCAATATTTTTGCTTATGTATATAACATTTTGCCAGCAATATAAATAAATGAACAATGTATTCAAGACCTTTTCTAGTTTTGTTTTCATAATACACAATAATATCTTTTCATGTAAAAACCTTTACTAAATTAAAAATAAAATTAGCCAATTCCTTCCAAACATTTTGGACAATTTTGCATTCAAAGAAAAAATGAGTCACCAGCTCTCTCTCACGTTTACAAAAGGAACATAAAGCATTAATATCAGAGTATCTTGAAATTAATTTTGAAAGGTACTTAGAATCAGAATCAGAATGAGCTTTTTGTTTTCACATACGAGGAATTTGTTTTCGTGACAGAAGCTAAACGCGACAGAACAAAAACACAGATAATAAAAGAAGAAGAAGAAAAAATAAATAAGGAATAACAATATATAAATTGACAATTGTATGTGCATTCAATATTTTTGCTTATGTATATAACATTTTGCCAGCAATATAAATAAATGAACAATGTATTCAAGACCTTTTCTAGTTTTGTTTTCATAATACACAATAATATCTTTTCATGTAAAAACCTTTACTAAATTAAAAATAAAATTAGCCAATTCCTTCCAAACATTTTGGACAATTTTGCATTCAAAGAAAAAATGAGTCACCAGCTCTCTCTCACGTTTACAAAAGGAACATAAAGCATTAATATCAGAGTATCTTGAAATTAATTTTGAAAGGTACTTAGAATCAGAATCAGAATGAGCTTTTTGTTTTCACATACGAGGAATTTGTTTTCGTGACAGAAGCTAAACGCGACAGAAGAAAGAAGAAGAAAAAAAAAAAAGTAAATAAGGAATAACAATATATAAATTGACAATTGTATGTGCAGGTAACTTACATAGTTTTATTATTAATACAATATAATAGAGTTCCAAAAAAAGTTTTGATTTTGAAAAGTGATATTTTATTTGGTTTTTGAAAAATAGTACAAATATGTTTCTTATTGCATTTTTTTTAATCAGTCAGCTCAGCACCATTTAATGTTTTGGTTTTGCCATTATTATAGAGTTATAGACTTTTAACAAGCTGAACAAGGGTAAGAGGAATAGCTTTAATAACAGAATTCAGTTCCTTAAATTGGACAGGACAACTGTGGGTCCGCATGAATTGTTCATTAGTTAAAAGATTCCCATAATTATCAATCATATTCATATAATACCTCTGCTAAACCATTGTCTTGGGAACTGAAGCGATTTTTAAATTTTTTTATTGCAAGTATAAACACTTAACAATTAATGTAACATTGGATGACATTATGAATACAGAAATTATATAGGAAGACAAAGAAGAGAGAAAAATAATAATAATAATAAAAAATAAACAAGAATACATAGATAAAACTAAAAATACAGAGGTAGTAAATCAAGTATTATGTACCATTCAGCAGATCATTATACAGTTTCACAAATTTGACACTTTTTTTTGGTATTAATATTTTTTAGTTATAATTAAGTAGTTAAAGTGGGAACTGAAGCGATTTTTAAATTTTTTTATTGCAAGTATAAACACTTAACAATTAATGTAACATTGGATGACATTATGAATACAGAAATTATATAGGAAGACAAAGAAGAGAGAAAAATAATATTAATAATAAAAAATAAACAAGAATACATAGATAAAACTAAAAATACAGAGGTAGTAAATCAAGTATTATGTATCATTCAGCAGATCATTATACAGTTTCACAAATTTGACACTTTTTTTTGGTATTAATATTTTTTAGTTATAATTAAGTAGTTAAAGTGGGAACTGAAGCGATTTTATTTTTTTATTTTATTTTTTTTTATTAGACATTGAAGACATAACATGCAACATTTACAACTTTAACAAGACATCCAAAAAGATAACTCAATTAAAGGAATGGGTTTACATTACATAGAGAAAAAAAATCAATAATACTTAAAGAAAAAAAAAACAGAAAACAAAAAAGGGAACTGAAGCAATCAGGGTATCTTCCGTCCAGGTGAACTCGTTTGAGTTATAAGAACATATCCAAACCCTGAAATAACACTTCGAACAATAAGCCAGTGTCAGTAGTATCAGAAATTAACTTTCACATAAGGGGCAACTGATTTTCAGTTTATTATTTATTTAATTAAATTTTTTTACCTTTTATATGTCATTTTTTATGTTAAATTCTTACATTAAATAAATTAGAATAATATACGAAAAATTAAGCCGGATTCTTGATTTTTCGTTTTGTTTGAATAATTGAAAAACGAAATATGTGCCCGTTTTTCATTTTTCAGATTTCAATATTAAAACAAAAATGGATTGGACGGAAGATACCCTGATTTTGATTTGAAGCAATCCGTGTATCATTCGATCATTCGTTTTTTGATTTAATATTGAAAGTAGAAAAATGAGAAAACGGCTCCTTTTTTGTTTTTTTCGCTTTTATCCAAAAAACGAAAAACAAGAATTCAGCTTAAATTTTCGTTTTTCGTTCATGGCTGGAAAAATGAATAAACACCTTGAATATTCGATTTCTACATGTGGGCGGGGATTAAACACCCCTTTCTGCTGAT